GATCATGGTTCAAAACCAGCCAAGGCAGGAAAGTCTTATGAGACTCTTATTTCCAATTAACCATTAGAAAACCAGAAGTGGTACTGTGGCTCAAAGTGGCAGAGCCTTGAGCAAAAGAGCTCAGGGACAGTGCCCAGGCCCTGAGTTCATGCCCCATAACCAACCAAAAAAAAGAAAGGAAAAGAAAGAACTTCAGTCTTAGAATAATCATATATAAGTTTAAGTTGTAATGAGATTGTGTGTGTATGTGATTGTGTGTGTATGTGTAGGGTTAGAACCTTAGAGTCTTGTATATAGGAGGCAAGTACTCCTGAACTACATCCCCAGCCTTTTGGCCTTTTTCACTTTTTCAAATAAGGTCTAGCATTTGCCTGGACCTGGATTGTGATCCTCATGGTTTTATTTCCCACTATAGATGGATGACAAATGTGTATACCATGCCCAGATTTTTCTGTTGAGATGAGGACACTAACTTTTTTACACAACCTGGCTGGAACTTAGATCCTTCTTGTGATAGCCCTCTGAGTAGCTAGAACTACAGGTGGGAGTCACCAGTGCCTGGCTTCTTTTGATTTTTTTTTTTGTGATCAGTTGTGAGGCTTGAACTCAGGGCCTAGGCACTATCTCTGAGCTCTTTCATTCAAAGGTAGTGCTCTACCACTTTGAGTTATAGCTCCACTTCCAGTTTTGTAGTGGTTGATTGGAGATAAGAAGCTCATAGGGACTTTTCTGTCCCAGCTGGCTTCGAAACATGTTCCTCAGACCTCAGTCTCCTGAGTAAATGGGGTTACAGGCATGAGCCACTGGCTTCTGCCCGCCCCCCCTTTTTTGTCACAAAGGCCAAGCCTGCCTTCTGAGTATTTAGAAAAAGGTGTTCTCTACATAAGGCACACCAAGTGTGATGATTAAATATTTGTTTTTAGTCTATTGTAGGGCTTGAACTCAGGGTCTGAGTGCTGTCTCTTAGCTTTTTCCACTCAAGATTAGCACTCTACCACTTTGAGTCATAGTGCCAATTCCAGTTTCTAGTGGTTACTTGGAGATAAAGAGTCTCCTGCCTGGGAGACATTGAAGTCTGGCTACTCAGGGGGCTAAGTAGTTAGGATTACAGGCGTGAGCCACTAACACCTGGCTTAATTTTTTTTTAATTGGTGGTGGTAACACGCCTGTAATCTCAGTACTCAGGTGTCTGAAACAGGAGGATCTTCAGTTCAAAGTTAGGCTAGGCTATATAGTAACTTCAAAGCTAGTTTTAGCTATCTAAAAGACTTGTCCTAATTTTGTAAATTTATTCAAACATTTTTACTTTCAAATGCTTCAGCATGTATTATTCTTTGTTATTCACAACTGGAGTTTGAACTCAGTACCTCAAGTTTGCACTCTAGCCCTAAGATATCTGTGTGTGTGTGTGTGTGTGTGTGTTGAGACTTGAACTTAAGGCCTGGGTGCTATCCTGAGCTTTTTTGCTCAAGGCTAACACTCTACCATTTGAGTCACACCTCCACTTTGGGCTGGTTTTGGTGGCTAACTGGGGATAAGAACCTAATGATCCTTCCTGCCAGAACTGACTTTGAGCTGCAGTTCTTAGAACTCAGCCTCTTAAGTATCTAGGATTACAGGTTTCAGATAGCATGTGGAGAAATTGATACACCCATATCTTGTGAGAATATAAACCCATAAGACTTTTTGGGAGGGCAATATGGAGGAAGTACCAAAGTATTTAATATTCTTACCCTATAATTCAACTTACTTCACTCCTAGGAATCTATGTGATAGAAAAACTTGCAGTAGTACAAAAGATAAAGTTACTTACACAGAGAATCATTATTTATTGTATAAAAACAATTAGTAACAACTGTCCACAGCAAGGGGTATGGTTTGAATTACCTATGTTATTTTCCCATGATGGAATTCCATGTCATTTTTTTAATGTAAAGAGGTAGCTTCATATTTACTGGCATTTAAAGTTCTCTAGGATATACTGCTAAGTATAAATGCAAGTTGCAGGGGTAGGGGTGTGGCTCAAGTGGTAGGGCCTGTATGAAAGAGGCCCTGGGTTCCATCCCCAACACACACAGACACACACACACACACACACACACACAGACACAAACACACAGCAAGCTGCAGAAGCTAGCTGAGCATGATCTTCTGTTTCTAAAACCTATATATGTATAAAAACATCTGAGAAAAATATCTGATTATATCTGTAATCCTAGCTACTCAAGAGGCTGAGACCTGAGGATTCTGGTTCGAAGCTAGCAAGGCAGGAAAGTCTGTGCGACTCTGCAATTAACCAGCAAAAAGTCAGAAATGGAGGTGTAGCTCAACTGGTAGAGTGTCAGCATTGAGCAAAAATGTTAAGGGAACCCGCGGGCACTGGTGGCTCACGCCTGTCATCCTAGCTACTGAAGAGGCTGAGATCTGAGGATCTTTGATCTGAGGATCAAAGTCAGCCTGGGAAGAAAGCCTGTTAAACTCTTTCTTTCCTTCCTTCCTTCTCTTTCTTTCTTTCTTTCTTTCTTTCTTTCTTTCTTTCTTTCTTTCTCTCTCTCTCTCTCTCTCTCTCTCTCTCTCTCTCTCTCTCTCTTTCTCTTTTTGTTGGTCTTGGGGCCTGAACTCTGGGCCTGGGCACTGTCCCTCAGCTCTTCAGCTCAAGGCTAGCGCTCTACCATTTGAACCACAGTGCCACTTACAGCTTTTTCTACATACATGGTACTGAGGAATCAAACCCGGAGCCTCGTGCATGCAAGGCCAAGCACTCTACCAGTGAGCGACCTTCCCAGCCCGTGAGACTCTTATCTCCAATAAACCACCAAAAAATAGGAAGTGGGGCTGTGGCTCAAGTGGTAAAGCATTATCCTTGAGCTGAAGAGCTGAGGGACAGCGCCCACGCCCAGAGTTCAAGCCCTACAACTGCAACAACAACAACAACAACAAAATTAAGGGAAATTAAAAAAAAAAAAAAGCTGAGCTGGGCACTGGTAGCTCATGCCTATAATCCTAGCTACTTAGGAGACAGAGAGCTGAGGATTGTGGATTGAAGCCAGCTCAGAAAAGTCCATGAGACATTTATCTCCAATTAACCACCAGAAAACTAAAAGTGGCACTGTGGCTCAAAGTGGTAGAGTAGGCTAGTCTTGAGTGGAAAAAAAAAGTGAAAAAAAAAAACCACCCTCAGGGACAGTGCCCAGGTCCTGAGTTCAAGCCCTACATATAACAACAACAATAAAAATTAAGAAAATCACTGCCTCAGTTGTTAGTGAGATTCTCTGAGCATTAGGATAAAAGGTAAAAGGCCCTCTCCCCTTCTTTTCTGATTGTGTAATAAAACGTGTGAGTCAAGAACCCAAACAAACCAAAGGCACTCAGAAAAGTAAATCACACCTCTCCTGCCCCCATGCTGTTCTGAGAAAAAGCTCAGTTTACTTTGTAGATGTTTATAATGTTAACATTTTTTTATTTTATTGGTTTATTTTTTTTTTACCAGTCCTGAAGCTTGAACTCAGGCCCTAGGTACTGTCCCTGAGCTTCTTTTGCTCAAAGCTAGTGCTCTACCACTTGAGCCATAGCACCACTTCTGGCTTTTTCTGTGTATGTAGTACTGAGGAATCGAACCCAGGGCTTCATGCATGCTAGGCAAGCACTCTACCACTAAGCCACATTCCCAGCCCTAGTTTTAATTTTATCATTATCTTGTGTGCTGAGGATTGATCTCAGGGCCTCCCACTCTCACTTGGCTTTTTCAATCAAAGCTGATGCTCTACCAGTTGAACCAGACCTCTACTACCAAATATCATTTCTGAGATGGTTCTTACTATGCTGCCTAGCCTTCCAGCACAAAGAACAAAAACAGAGCTGGCTATCAGTGGCTCACACCTGAAATCCTAGCTGCACAGGAAGCAAAAATCTGAGGATCTCAGTTCAAAGCCAGCCCAGGCAAATAAATACAAGAGACTATTATCTCCAATAAACTAGCAAAAAGCTAGAAATGGAACTGTGGTTCAAGTGGTAGAGTGCCAACCTTGTGTGGAAAAGCCCCAGTATGAACACATCCACAAAAAGGTAGAATGGGCTGGGTGTTGTTGGCTCACGCCTATACTCCTAGCTACCCAGGAGGCTAAGTTCAGAGGATCGAAGTTTGGAGCCAGCCCGGGCAATAAAGTTTGTGAGACTCTTAGCTCCAATTAACCACCAGAAAACTGGAAGTGGGACTATGGTCCGAAGTGGTAGAGAGCTAGCCTTGAGCAAAAGAGCTTGGAAAAGCACCCAGTCCCCGAGTTCAAGCCCCATGGCCTACCAAAAAAAAAAATAGTAGAACAAAAGAATGAGGGGGAAAAAAAGGAAGGGGAAAAGAAGTAAAGGGAAAGAGAGAAGATGGAAGAGAAAGGAAAGGCATGATAAAGAAAAGAATAAAACTGTACTATAGGGCTGGGAAGGTGGCTCAGTGGTAGAGCGCTTGCCTTGCATGCCTGAGGCCCTGGGTTTGATTCCTCAGCACCACATAAGCAAAAAGAAAAAAGCCGGAAGTGGCGCTGTGGCTCAAGTGGTAGAGTGATAGCCTTGAGCTAAAGAGCTGAGGGACAGCGCCCAGGCCCAGAGTTCAGGCCCCACGACCAGACCCCCCCCCCCAAAAAAAAAAAAAAAACTGTACTATATCCCCTATTTTATAATTTACTTTTTACATACACAGCATAGCATGAACATTCTCCCATATTTTAAAATATTTTTGCACAACATGATTTTTTTGTCAGTCACGAGGCTTGAATTTAGGGCTGGAGCCCTGTCTCTGAACTTTTGTGTTTAAGGCTAGTACTCTGTCACTTTGAGCCATAGCTCCACTTCCAGTTTTTGGGTAGTGAACTGGAGATAAGTCTCTCACAGACTTTCCTGCCTGGGCTGGCTTTGAAGCATGATCCTCATATCTTAGCCTCCTGAGTAGTTAGGATTATGGGCATAAGTCACTAGCGCCTGGTATATGGTATCTTCCCTCCCCCCCCCCCCCCACTGGTTATATAGTAACTTAGCCTAAGAAATATTTGCTTAAAAATTAGGTTGTTTCCCATTTCAGAAAAATGTTTTGCAAATGAAGAAGGGCAGTATCCTTTGGGGCAGGATCCAGGAAAATAGAGGAAAAGTCCCTAGAGCCATCTGTCTTCCATGCCTGACCCCATCCTGCAGGGTCTCTACCCAGGCCTTCCAGGCAGATTTACTCCCAAAGCACTGCCAAGGCCCAGAGCCAGTTGGATTCCAACCCTGACCTCTTTCAGAGCAGAGGCTCTATGTCTGCCCTGGCCACAGGACCATTTTCTAGCACAAAGCACAATCAGTTCTGGTGTTCCCCTGCCCACCCTACCCATCCTCTTCCCACTCCCCAAATTCAAGGCCCTCAGGCCTGTGGTGGCCCAGACATGTGTACAACATTCTCATACACAGGCTCTTCCTGTCTTTTCTCTTCAGCTTGCTTCTGGGGATCTGGTATTGGGGGAAAGCTTCCTGAGGCTACCTCTTGGACTCTCCCTGCACTCTTAGTGCCATCCTTCAGCTCCCTGGACACTTCCTCAGGCCTAGTCCCCAAGCTGATATTGGGGGCTGAGCCAGGGTTCTGACTGGTAGAGCCAGAGGCCAGCCCTGGGCCACCCTTGTTTTGACCCAGGGCTCGGCGTATGGGTTTAGGGATGGCACTCTTGACCTTGGATTCTGCTTGGCCTTTCTGGAAGTTACCAAGACGATGAAAGACAGACCGGCTAGGACCCTCAGATTTCTGTGGTGTCCCTGCTAGCATGTAGATGGTGGCTACAGAGCTAGAATTGTCCTGAGCACTGCCATTGACGATTTCCACACACTCAGCTGCATCTCCTGGACTAGCAGCTTCAGGAGGCGCCTCCTCCGTTTTTGCTTGCTCTGGGCTTGTGGACTCCTCAGCTTCCTGGCCTTCAGGATGTGGCTGGGAGCCCCTGGAAAGCCTCTTGGGCTTTCTGATTGGGCTGGAGAGCTCCCCTGAACTTCGGCAACTCTGTGGTGCAAACTTGGTGCCTTCAGCGAAGGAAACGGATGGCCGCTTGGCCCTGGCCAGGCTGGAGGTGCGTGGGATAGGAAATGGTGTGGAGGCATCCTCGGGGGGCGGGAAGGGGCCTCCAGCCAGGCTGGCCTCTGGAGACTCTGCTTCAGCCACAGGGATCATCCCTGGCAGAGGAAACAGAAGAGCTAGGCTGCAGCTGTGCTGGCCACCCCAGTTCATCCTACCTGCAGCATCTTCCTCTTGCAAAGAGTGAAGTGCAGAACAACAGGGGAAAGGCCAGATCTGTAGCCCTGGCTCCTTGGCTCTTTTCTCCCTACCCCTCCCTGCTTTGAACCACTGTCTAGCTAAAAGTTTCGAAGCCATAGAGTCATGTGAACCATGTGAATGCTGATGCCTCTACCTGAAATGCCAGCTACCTCCCCCATGGAAATATATATCAAGCCAGCTATTGGTGGCTCACATCTGTAATCTTAGCTACTCAGGAGGCTGAGATCTGAGGATGGTAGTTCGAAGCCAGCCCAGGCAGCTGACTCTGTGAAACTCTTATCTCCAATTAAGCACTAGAAGTGGAGTTGTGACTCAAATGGTAGAGTGCTAGTTAGCCTTGAGCAAAGAAGCTCAGGGACAGTGCTGAAGCCATGAGTTCAAGCTCCACACTCACACACACACACACACACACACACACACACACACACACACACACACACTGTCCTGTTTTCCTAATGATGTATCTGATTGATGTCTATCAGACTACAAGTTTAATGAGGACAGGAATCTCTCTTATTTTTCACTGGGTCCACATTAGCTGAAGGAATATAGAAGAGATTGAGGTGGGCAGGCTGCTCAGGGACTGAGTGAGCTGTTGGGGGAGGCCTACCTTCTCGGGGTGGCACAGAGTAGGTATGACCCTCATCCTCTGCTCCAGACTCAGGATCAGAAGAGAAGGAGTCATCAGAGGCCCAGCCAGCAGAAGGTGGCTCGATGAAGCTGTGGTTGAACGGGACCTCCGGGTCATGGTGAGAGACTGTAGGGACTTCAAGTCAGGTGCACAGCCTTCTGGGAAGACTTGCTCCATCTCAGCCGCTGGCCCCTAGTGCCCACTTACCTGTCACCCAGGGAAGCTTGTAGTTGCTGAGGGAGCCACAGGACAGCGCAGAGCCCAGCCTGGTCAGTGCCCCCCAGACCTGCTGCTTCATCCTGGATAAGGCAGCTCCATCTCTTGCTGGCCTGAAAAAGGGGGGTGGTTAAGGTAGGTGTTCATGCATGTGACCCACAATAACCTCTGCATAGTGTGACAAAATGATCACATGTACTTCAATGGCTGTTTTGCTTTGGTTCGTTAGATACAGGGTCTCACATAGCACAAATTTGTGACCTTCCTTCTTTAGCTTCCCAAGTGCTGGGGCTACAGGCTAAATGGTTTCATATTGATGGTAGAATAAAACCTAAACTATTGAGCCCAAGATCTGAGTAACAGAATGCAAGGTGGCCCTAGTGTCAAACAGACCTAGGTAACAGTTTTGTCACCTCTCTGGGCTCTAGTTTCCTAATCTGTAAAATGAGGACAGAGTCCAGAAAGCTGGGCAGGAGCTCTGTGGGAGCTTTGACTAGCTGGGTCAGCTTGAGCCTTGCTGTCTTCTGTGAACTGAGGACAAAAACTTCTTCCCACCCCCACATTTCCTGTCTCAAAGGAGCGAAGAGGTATCAAGAGGTTTTATAAAGAACAAAACATGAGCCACATCTGTCTGGCAGCCTCATCAGCCCAGTGGTCTATCCCTCAGAAAACCACCTTCTCTGCCAAACTCTGCACGGAGTTTCAAGTCACTCTCATTTCTTGGAGGAGTGAGTTCTGGTCTCTTCCTCTCTTGGCCCAGAGCTGGGCCTCTGCTTCTGTGTTTCCTGCCTTCTTCAAGGCCCTGGTCAATTGAGCTCAGCTTCCTGCTATGGGTTGTATTTGGACAGCTTAGGGCCTAGTGCCCCTCACTCATGCCTACATGACCTGGGACTTTCCCTATTAAAGGTTTCCAAGAAAGGCAGGTGACTGACCTGAAGTTTCACCACCGCCAACTACCTCTATTACCTACAACCTAAATGTGTAACAAGGCCAGCCCCTCCCCAGCCCTGAAAGGAAACCAAACGGTACCAGACAGTGTTCACCTGTCCTTGGGATCCAACCGGGTAGCCCAGCGGCAGTAGACACAGCAGGCCACGCCCAGGAGAAGCAACAGCAGAGGCACAAGAATGCCAGCAATGAGGGCATTCTTACCATGACGACCTAGGAGAGATGGTTCAATATTCAGGATATTATGTTTCCTCTTTAGTTCTAAGTTGCCCTTTGCACAGTCTTTTACCTGTGGCTCCCCCACCCTCTGCAGCCAGGGGCAGGGAGGGAGGGGGAGGGCAGTGCACAGGGCTAAAACTCTGTCACATCTTCAGGGGGATCCAGAGTACTCAAACAGATTTCAGACATGCCGAAGATCACTAAAGTGGCCCAGGCTCCCCAGCAAATAGGGCCTAGCCCATGAAAGAGCCAGACTTACCCTGGTTACCATGCTCTAGGCCTCCCCCTCCACCTTACCCAACTGGCAGGCCCCAGAGACAGGGTGGCAGAGTCCCTCTGAGCATTGGCAGGAGAGAGAGCAGTTGCTTCCATGGAAGCCAGATGGGCAGGAACTGTTGCAGCTAGGTGTAACAAGAAAAGGCAGATTGAGCCGGGAGCTGGTGGCTCATGCTTGTAATCCTAGCTATTCAGAAGGGTGAGATTTGAGGATGGTGGTTCAGAGCCAGCCCAGGCAAGAAAGTCAATGAAACCCTTATCTCCAATTAAACACACACACACACACACAGAGCCGGAAGTGGAGCTGTGACTCAAGTGGTAGAGCAACAGCCTTGAGTGAAAAAGGTCAAGGACAGCACTCAGGCCCTGAGTTCAGGACTGACACGAGAAAGGGGGGGGGGGGGGAGGGGGAAGGAACTAACATTGTCCAAAAAGAAATACACTCATTATTGGATTTATGTAGCTGTAACCTCTTTTTCTGTACATCATCTTTATAATATCATTTAAAAAAAAACTTTAAAAAGGAAGGAAAGAAAGAAAGGAAAGGAAGGAAGGGCAGGCTGCAGGCTGGATAAGAGGGGAAGGGAGTGGGCAGGGAGAGTCCAACATAGATTTCTGGGCACCATTCCCACTACCCTGCCAGGTAGATTTTTCTGGACGATGCCCAAACAGACCCCTCTGCATTTTGAGCCACTCTACATGGCCCTGGCGGCATGTGGAAGAATGCTTCCTCCCAGAAGATGCCTAGCCATTCCCAGGACAGTGTGTAGACCTCTGTATGTGGATCTTTGCACTCACTCACCCTGCTGGCCACCCAGCACTTGTATGAGATCAGCCACATAAAGTACATCCAGGGAGATACCTCTCAGGTCTGGAGGTCTGAGCTGACCCAACTGCCTGAGCCTCAGCCCCGTTCTCTGTAAAATGAAATCTTTTCCATCTGACAGTATACACACTCACCTAAAGACTTCGGGAATGTCTGGAGCCAACTCCCATCTAGTTAGGGAGCCAGCCCTTATTTCTTCTTCTTATTCTGTATTTAATTAATTTTTACCACAACCGGGATTTAAACTCAGGGCATTGCCCTTGCTCAGCTTGCTTGCTTGCTTGATAAGTGCTCTACATCATTAGCCATGCTTTTGTACTGGTTATTTTGGAGCTGGACTTTTCTGCCTAGATTGGCCCCAAACTTGATACTTACTTATTATTTATTTATTGTCCTTCTAGATTAGGCATCAGCAGACTTTCCTTTGAAAATACATCAGGACTACCTTCTTAGGGGAAGGATGGGTGGTGTCTGGGAGGTGGAGAGACCCAGGAAGGGAGGCTTGGGAAACATATTACAGAGGTCTGATCACCACCCTTTTCTCTCCCCTCCCCAGGGTCCAGTCCTCACCTGGTTCCCCAGTAGCCAGCGTTACAGACACATTCCCCTGTCACCACATCGCAGACCCCCTGGACACAGGTGGGGCAGGTAGAACTACAGCCCTCCCCAAAAGTGCCAGTTGGGCAGGGGTCTTCACACCTGGGGGAAATAGAAGATTCAGTCAGGGACTGGGAGGCTAGTGGTTAGCCTACAGTCTCCCCACACACTCCTGGACTTGGGGACCCAAAGGACCACTCCTTAGCAGTGAGGTTCAGGTGCACACAAGACTTTGAAGCTGGAACCAAACCCAGTAGGTAACAGACTATGGATCCTCAGGGGAAGAAGAGGGAAGGCAGTCTGAGTGGTGAGGGAAAGTAGAAGAGCACTGTGCACAGGGCCCCTCTCTCCCATCTCTCTCCCTCAGTGTTTCTAGGAGGTAGCACAAGAGCTCTATCTGTGTGTGTGTGTATGTGTGTGTGTGTGTTACTAGAAGATTGGCTTTCACAGAGAGAGCAAGGGAGATGATCCTAGGGGAAAAGGGTACCTGTCCTGAGCAGGATGGCTGTCTCACCTGGGCCCCAGCCAGCCAGGCTCACAGCGCTGACAGTGCCCAGTGTCTGCCTGACAGGGCTCCCCAAGCTTGCAGCGGGGGCACTGCTGGCTGCAGCTGTTGCCAAAGGTACCAGGTGGGCATCGTTGCTTGCACTGGGTTCCATTCCAGCCGGGCTTGCAGGAGTCACAGCTGCCCGTGATGGGAGAGCATGTTGCATTGGGCTTGCAGTGGCCACATCTGGCAAGAGAAGAGGTACATGGGAGCACTGAGGGTAGATAGTGTGCCGCCCCCTCCAATCCCTCCCTGCCAGCTCAGGCAGCCCTCCTGGGACACTGGAGCGTGTTCAGGCCCCAGCTGGGTCAACTCGGACAGGTTTGAGCCTCAGCTTCTCCACACTATACAATGAAGAGGCTAGATAGATGGCCTCTGAGCATGCTCATAGGATTCTGTCTCCCATCTCTCTCTACTTGTGTGTGTATGTGTGTGTGTGTGTGTGTGTGTGTGTGTGTGTGTGTGTACACTCACACTACTGGATATTGAACTCCAGGCCTCGGTTTGTGAGGCAGTATGTAACCACTTGCCATCTCTTGTCACCTGACCCCTCACTCTGTCTCACCCTTCTCTAGGTCCCAGGGCCTCTCTGACCCAGCCCGAGTAGGGCATCGAATTCCCACCCTGTCTTCTACTTCTCTCTTCTCAACTCTGCCTTCCTCCTCTTTTCCCCTATTTCCTTTCCCATAGCACACCATCCCTTAAAACAGGACTCAGTGGTTTATCTTTTTCTCTATAACTTGAAAATAGATAAAAATAGAATACAACTGGATACCCTTGTGGCTCACACCTGTAATTCTAGCTACTCAGGAAGCTGAGATCTGGAAAATCCCAGTTCAAAGCCAGCCTGGGCAGACAAATCTGAGAGATTCTTGTCTGCAATTAACCACCAAAAAGCCAGAAGTGGTACAGTGGTAGACCCCTACCTTTGAGCACAAAAGCTCAGGGACAGTGCCCAGGCCTGAATTCAAGCCCCAGGAATATCAAATGAAATAAATAAATAACCCTAAACTAAGAGCTGCAAACAAGTGGCTCATACCTATAATCCTAGCTACTGAAGATGCTGAGATCTGAGGATTGCAGTTCAAAACCAGCTCAGGCAGGAAAAAGTCTGTGAGACTTTTTCTTCAATTAACCACTAAAAAAAAAAAAATGGAAATAGAGCTGTGGCTTAAGTGGTAGAGCACTAGCCTTGAGCAAAAAAAAAAAAAACCCTCAGGGACAATACTTAGGACCTGAACTCAAACCCAAAGACAAAATTAAACAAAACAAAAAAAAGTAAAACTGGACTGGGAATGTGGCTTAGTGGTAGAATGCTTGGTTAGCATGAATGAAGCCCTGGGTTTGATTCCTTAGTGCCACATACACAGAAAAAGCCAGAAGTGGTGCTATGGCTCAAGTGGTAGAGTGCTAGCCTTGAGCAAAAGAAACTCAGGGAGAGTGCCCAGGCCCTGAGTTCAAGTCCCAGGACTGGCAAAAAAAAGCAAAAATAACAACAACAAAAAAACTAAATAAACTATCAGTTCTTGTTTTCACCACTATCCTTTCAAGTTTGTCTTAATTTCCCATTGATGCTAATTGTATCTCAAGTTTCTTTCTCCAGATGCTTGGTTATCTGGGATCAAAGGCTTGGGTCAGATCCATTCCGGGGCTAAGGTAAAGGAGGAGTTTATAAAATTGATTTAGGCCAGGCGCAGGTAGCTCACATCTATAATCCTAGCTACTTGAGAGGGTCGAGGTTCAAAGCCAGCCCGGGCAGGAAAGGCCATGAGACTCTTATCTCCAATTTACCACCAGAAAACTGGAAGTGGTGCTGAGGCTCAAGTGGTAGAGGGCTAGCCTTGTGCTGAAGAGCTCAAGGATAGCGCCCAGGCTCAGAGATCAAGCCACCACCACCAACAATAACAATAACAAAGATTTAGGTGATTATGGTTGGGATTGAGAAAAAAAAAGAAGAAATTATTGCTGTGGTTTTTTTGTGTATATATGTGTGTGTTGGTCGTGGGGTTTGAACTCAGGACTTGGGGGTTATCCCTGAGCTCTTTTGCTCAAGGCTAGCATTCTACCACTTTGATAATTGGAGATAAGAGTCTCACAGCTTTTCCTGCCTAGGCTGGCTTCAAACCATTATCCTTAGATCTCAGCCTCCTGAGTAGCTAGGAGGCTACTCCTTCCTCTACTACTTTAGTCATAGCGCCATTTCCAGCTTTTTCAGTAGTTAACTGGAGAGAAAAGTCTCATGAGCTTTCCTGCCCCAGCTGGCTTTGAACCATGATAGGCAGATCTCAGTCTACTGAACAGTTAGGATTACAGGTGTGAACCACCAGTGCTCAGCTTCATATATTCTTAGGTAAGTATAATGAAAGTTAAGTATGTGTTAAACTTTTACTTTAGTTATATCAAATATGTGTTACATATATTGGGCGGGGCAGGGAGGAGTAATTTTCTCTTGCTTAGCTTTTTTTTTTCTGCTCAATGATAGCACTCTGCCACTTTAGCCACACCTTCACTTCTACCTTTTTGCTGTTTAATTGGAAATAAGAGTGTCTCAGATTTGTCTGCCCAGGCTGATTTTGAGCCACAATCTCAGATCTGTCTTTTGAGTAGCTAAGATTACAGAGGTGAGCCTCTGACTACAATTTCTTACTGTATGGGAAATTGGTCAATGTCTGAAAACCACTGAATCCTAAAGGGACCTTACCATTATTTTGTAGCAGGAGTCTTTCTAATACTAGGCCTTTTTTCTTTTCTGTCTTTCTTTCTTTCTTTTTTTTTTTTGGTCCGTCATGGGGCCTGAACTCTGGGTCTGGGCACTGTTCCTCAGCTCTTCAGCTCAAGGCTAGTGCTCGACCACTTGAACCATAGCTTCACTTCCAGCTTTTTCTGTTTATGTGGTGCTGAAAAATCGAACCCAGGACCTCATGCATGCAAGGCAAGCACTCTATCACGGAGCCACCTCCCCAGCCCCCTAGGCCTTTTTCCTTTAGAGTTATAAAATATTTATTTGGGGGGACTTCATATATGACAAATTCAGAACATGTTTTAAGGCATTTCATAAAAGCAACAAAGATATCATGCCACTTGTTTGTTTGTGTTGCCAGTCGTGGGGCCTGAACTCTGGGCCTGGGCACTGTCCCTCAGCTCTTCAGCTCAAGGCTAGCACTCTACCACTTGAGCCACAGCACCACTTCTAGCTATTTCTGCTTATGTTGGTGCTCAGGAATCAAACCCAGGGCCTCATGCATGCAAGGCAAGCGCTCTACCAGAGCCACCTTCCCAGCCCCAAGAGACAGTCTTTTATATAGCCTAATCTGGCTTCAAACTCGAGATGTACCTGTCTCCTGAGTGCTGGGATTGCACCATCACTTGAGCTGGGCTCCCCACTTGCTAGACAGGTTCTCTACTGTCTAGCCATGCCTTGGCCTTGTACTTTTTTTTTTGCCAGTCCTGGGGCTTGAACTCAGTGCCTGAGCACTGTCCTTGAGCTGCTTTTGCTCAAGATTAGCACTCTACCACTTGAGCCACATTACCACTTCTGGCTTTTTCTGTTTATGTGGTACTGAGGAATCGAACCCAGGGTTTCATGCATGCTAGGCAAGCACTCTACCATTAAGCCGCATTCTCTGCCCAAGGTCCTATACTTCTTAATAATCATTGGATGAAAAGAGTAGGTATAAGCAGCACCAGTGGCTCATGCCTACAACCTTAGCTACTCAGGTGGCTGAGATCTAAGGATCACAGTTTGAAGCCAGCCCAGGCAGAAAAGTCTGTGAGACTCTTATCTCCAATACACTACTTTAAAAAAAGCTAGAAGTGGCACTGTGGCTCAAGTGGTAGTGTGTTAGCCTTGAGCACAAAGAGGCTCAGGGACGGTGCCCAGGACCGGAGTTCCAGCCCCAGGAGTGGATATAGGTAGAACTAGAGAAATCAAGGCTATGTCATCCTTGCTTTGTGTATATTTTGGGGATAGCACTGGAACATCTTACCCTTTCTCCCACCCTTCTCCATATATGTCCAACCTATTCCCATGCTCCCCTAACCCTTCTTTACCTCCCCTTACCCTGGCCCTCCTTTGTCTTCCCCCATGGCTCACCTTTCACTGCACTGATCTCCATAGCGGCCAGGGTCACAGGGCAGTTCACAGTGCTTGCCATGGAAGCCGGGTGGGCAGGTGCACTGGCCAGAGACAACGTTGCACTGGCCACGGACACACTCACACCGCCTTCGACACTCGGGGCCCCACCAGCCTGGCAGGCAGGTGCAACGGCCGTTATCCTGCAGGCATGGTGAGGTGTGGCAGGTGCAATGGAAGTTGCAGCGGCGACCCCAAAAGCCAAGCGGGCACAGGCAGGCGCCAGTGACTGGGTCACAGTGCGCCCTTGGATTGCACTGGCATGTGCGTTGGCACGTGGGCGACCACCAACCTGGGTCACAATGACATGTGCCCGTAGCGGGGTCGCAACGTGCATGGGAGCTGCAGGAGCATGAAAACTCACAGAGGCTGCCCCAGCGGCCGGCTTGGCACTGGCACACACCTGTGGCCGGCTCGCAATGGCCATGAGGGTGGCAGGGACAGGTCTCACGGCAGTCGGGGCCCCAGTATTGGCCTGGGCAGCCTGCAGGAGTCAGAGATAGAACAGGGGGATGAGAGCTCAGAGTCAGGGACAAATCACCACCCTGGCCTTTCCCCAAGGCCGAAGGGGACCAGACCAATCCCCCAAGAGCCAGAGGCAGTCCCCCCCAGTACATCTAGCAGCTTATCATCCTAGGTTACAGCTCATTTCCTGCCCCAGACTGAATCAGAAAAACCTTAGCCTAAGCTCCGCCTCCCACTACACATTCCAGAACACATTTAGAGATGCTGAAAGGGAGAGGGTGTGTCCAGAGACACCCACTCAGAGGTGGGTGAGGTTTCACCCACCTCTTCCTGATACATTCCCCACTACCTCTGATGTGAGCTGGGAGCTTAACACTCACCCTGATCTCAGGTGGGTGCTGCCCACCAGGACAGCAGGAAAAGCTGCATTTCTCCATCTCCTCCCAGACCAGAGACTCCTAGCGTCTTTCCACTGGCTATGTGCCATCCCCACACTTTTCCCATCCCCCTCTTCCTGGCAGAGAGGGCAAACAGCCCAGCCCCTGGCCTCCTTCCACTGATGTATAAGGTAGACGTGGGGGGAGACTGAGAATGTGTTCATTTTGCAGTTAATAGGGCTCATGTCTATGGAAAGTTGGAAAGAAAAATGAAGGTGCCAGGTATACAGGACTTTGTGGGTCTTGGTAAAAACCAGATCATTTAGGGCATTTCTCAGGAAGATACCACTTCCAGTTTTTAGGCCTCCGTTTCCTCCGTGAGGCTTCTAGGGCTCTGGCCCTGATGTTCTAAGTTTATATTTCTTTTCTTTTTCTGTTTTTTGTGCCAGTATTGGGGCTTGAGCTCAGAGTCTAGAGTCCTTCTATGCTTTTTTCACTGAAGGCTAGCACTCTACCACTTTGAGCCACAGCATCACTTCAAGTTTTGTGGTGGTTAGTTGGAGATAAGTCTTACGGACTTTCCTGCCTGGGTTAGCTTCGAACTGTGGTCCTCAGATCTCAGCCTCTTGAGTAGCTAGGAGTAAAGGTGTGAGCCACCAACACCTGGCCTAAGGCTACATTTCTACCTTCTGTGCCACCCCTGCCCCATACCCAATTTTTCCCAAACTCACGTGAACTACACTGTGCCCCGAAGAATCCAGGTTTGCATCGACAGAGGCCTGGCTTCACACATATCTCGTCTTTCCTGCAGGCGTCCTGCCCTTCACAGATGGCTGAAAATCACCCCACCCAGGTGAGAAGGCAAGAAGGCATGACTAGCAGATACCCCTGCCCTTTCACCCTTTCTTGGGGCTCTGCTTCTTCAAAGACATTCTCTTAGAGTCGCATGGGGCGGGAGGGGGGGTTTCTAGGGCTCAGGAGGGAAAAGAGGTAAGGAGGACAGCCAATGGGCTGCGTGTGTCCCCCTTTTTAGGTGGGGGTCCGTCCTGGCTACTCACGGATGGTGCATTCTTGATCTTTCTGCCTCCAGCCTGGGCAGCACTGGAGGTCCGCAGAGGGGCTGTGGGGGCAGAAAGGGGTCATATGGGACAGCCAGTTAACAGGGTTGATCGCAGACTCTGGCTGAGGTGTGGGAGCCAGCCTCAGCCCTACCAGGGAGATCTGCTCTGTAATCACAGTCCCTGAGAATCACAGCCCCCATGTCCGCAAGCTCTCTCTTCCTCTTCCCTTGCCTTCCCAGCCAGGCTGTCCCTCAAGTTTCCCCTCCCTTCGCTCCCACATGCCCCAACATGATTTGGTAGTTCAGCCACCATCTCATCAGACTCCCACAAACCCACCTGCTGCCGGGGCAGACGTGCTGCCCCTTTGGGTTTAGCGTGGACTCCTGGGTCCCCCTTGTCCAGAGCAGCAGCAGTGGGAGCAGCAGCCCCAGTCTCATGGCGCCCAGAGCAGTGGGAGGGTCAGGGTTAATAGGCCCCCACAAGCTCCCAACCCCCTCCCTGCTTCCTCCCAAGGCTTTTCCTGAGGAAACCAGGCCCGAGGGGCGGGTTGTCCTGAAGCACCTCCCTGAGAGGGCGGAGGATGCTAGGAAGGCCAGAGACCCAGAAATAAAAAACGAAAGGAAGGTTAACAGTAAGGCCAGAGTGGGCCACGTATGGAGCTCAGAAGCCATAGGTCCTGGGTACTGGGGACAGGCAAAGGGATGGAGTGATAGTAGGAGCCATGGCTTTTCATTAAGCCACACTCTCAACAAGAGGCTAAAGCTGGGAGAAGCTGCCACCCAGTGACTGGCCAAGAAGAACCTGGGAGGAGAGCTAGACACTGACAGACATAAAACAGTTTTAGGAGCCGGGCGCTGGTGGCTTACGCCTGTAAATCTAGCTACTCAGGAGGCTGAGATCTGAGGATTGAGGTTCAAAGCCAGCCCAGGCAGGAAAGTCCATGAGACTCTTACCTCCAATAAACCACTAGAAAACTAGAAATGGCACTGTGGATCAAGCAGTAGAGCACTCACCTTGAGCTGAAGGGCACAGGGACAGCACCTAAGCCCAGAGTTCAAGCCCCATGACCAACCAAAAAAAAAAAACAACACACAGTTTTAGGGCCTTATGGGCAGATACTTTATTATATTAGCTGAGGCTTGTACAAAATTCCTGGGAGGTAGGCAGTCAGTTCTCTCTCCTGGATGGGGAAACTGGACCTGATAACAAGCCACCTTTACATCTGGCCCCCAGGTGGGGTACACACATGCTGGGGAGTGAGGCAGCCTAAAATCCCCAATGCAACTGCCATAACTGACTGCAGATGAGCCCTGGGGACAGGTGTGAAGGGGGTCCCCTCTCTTCATTTGAAGTCACACATCCACTTCCAGCCAAACCCTGAAGTCAGGCATCTTGGGCAGCTGGGCCCTCAGACCAACATGTTCATCATGAGCAGCGAAGGACAGTCAGGAGGTGGGGGCTGGAGGAGTGCCCACAGGCTCCAGGAGAGGTGGCTGGGGGGCTTCCTCTTCTTCTCTTAGCTTGCTGCTGGTCTCAGCGTCAGGGGCCTCTGCTTGACCCCGATACCACAAGCTAAAGCTGGAGGGAGAGGCAAGAGGTACTTGGAGCCAGGAAGCCAAGAAAATGGGCGAAGGGCAGGGAAACAGAGGAAAGAAAGTGTGTCAGGAGATCAAAGGGAACTAAAGGGGCCTAGGACAGAGAAGCAGGAGGAAAGTTAGTGCTTAGGACGGCTGGGTGAGAGGAAGTAGAACAGGAAAAGGGCACAGAAAAATAGGGGGGCTGCTCCTTTACTCCCTCCTCTGCCTTTTCCCTTCCCCCAACATACAAACTCTGTATTCTGGACTCGGTGGGTGGAGGGTGATCTTCCTTATCTATGGAGAGCAGGAGCCATGAGCCATCTTCATCATCACTAAGACAGAGGGAGGAGGCATAATGGCTTCAGGAACAACAGGAGACCAGCTCATGTTGAGCCTTCTTCACTGCTCCCAGGAGCATCATGGGAGGACAGCATGACTGTAGGGACCTCGGGGCTGGAGAGAAGATGACACTGGGGACATGTAGGACACCGTCAAGTTTTCACTTCATAACCTGGCAGTCAGCAGGTCCCCTATGGCTGCAGCCACAGCTTCACACCTCTAATCCAGCCAAGGCAGGAAAATGAAGGCTGAGTGTGAAGATGTTTTTAGCAAATTTCCTTTCCCTCCTTCTTCATTCTTTTTCTTTCTTTCTTTGTTTTTTCTGTCACTTTCTTTATTGTCTTTCCTCGTGTGTGTGTGTGTGTGTGTGTGTGTGTGTGTGTGTGTGTGAGGGAGAGGAGGAGGAAGGAGAAGAGGAGGCGGAGGAAGAGAGAGAGAAAGAGAGAGAGGATGAATGTGCTGGTACTAACTAAGGCTTCAATTCAGAGCCAGAGTGTTCTCCCTTAGCTTTTTTGCTCAAGGCTGGCACTCTACTACTTGAGTCATACTTCTACTTCCAGATTTTTTTTGGGGGGGGGTCCAGTCGTGGGGCCTGAACTCTGGGCCTGGACACTGTCCCTCAGCTCTTCAGCTCAAGGCTAGCACTCTACCACTTGAGCCATAGCGACACTTCCGGCTTTTTTCTTTTTTTGCTTATGTGGTGCTGAGGAATCGAACTCAGGGCCTAGTGCATGCAAGGCAAGCGCTCTACCACTGAGCCACCTTCCCAGCCCCAGATTTTTTTTTTTTGGTGGTTAATTGGAGATAAGAAGCTCACAGAGCCAGGCACTGGTGGCTCACACCTGTAATCCTAGTCGCTACTAAGGAGGCTGAGGATTGTGGTTCAAAGCCAGCCTTGGCAAGAAAGTCCATGAGATTCTTATCTCCAATTAACCACTAGAAAACTGGAAATGGCGCTGTGGCTCAAATGGTAGAGCGTTTGCCTTGAGCTGAAGAGCTGAGGGACAGCACGTGGGCAGAGTTTAAGCCCCATGACCAACAAAAAAAAGTCTCACAGATTTTTCTGTTCCATCTGAGTTTTGAATAGCTAGGATTACAGGTGTAAGCCATTGGCGCCCAGCTCTTACTAGATTTTTGTTGGTTGGTTGGTTGGTTGGTTGGTTGTGGGGCCTGAAGTCTGGGCCTGGGTACTATCCCTGAGTCCTTCAGCTAAAGGCTAGCGCTCTACCACTTGAGCCACAACACCAGTTCCAGCTCTTTCTGCTTATGTGGTGCTGAGGAATCAAACCCAGGGCCTCATGCACTCAAGACAAGCACTCTACCACTGAGCCACCTTCCCAGCCCTTAGTAGATTTCTTTAGCAGGATATGCAGTGGGCAGGGCAGGTGGGAGCAGCCAGATTCAGAGAAAAAGATAGCAAGCTAAACATTAGGCAAAAGGAAAACCAGGCCAGGTTGAGAGGGCCAAGAAATAACTATACTAGGTCGGCTCAAGGGGGTGATGAAAGTGGGTCCACAGATGCAGGAGGTAGCTAAGGCTGGGTTATCAGGCTCAGAAAACTGGGGGGGGGGGGGCAGAGAGGAAGGAAGGCTGGTTCACTGGGAATGGAGTCAGGATCTTACCTGCTCTCTGGTTCCTCTGGTGTCCCTAACATCTTGGCCTTGATCTTCTTCCGCTGTTTCCTGACAGCCACTTTCATGGCTTCAAGCAGAAGTCCAGGGACCCTGTGGTCTGTGAGCAGTTCCCTACATAGAAAAGTAGGAGCAGAGGGAAAGCAATGGGGATGCCAAAAGTAGGTCTCAGACAAGTACCTGTGTTCTTCATTCCTCTGACCTTTTCTTAGTAAGTGGCTCTTAAGAATACTTCACTGCCTACTGCTGTTGTGACCCTTTGTGCCTGCTCATTCCTCTGTTTGCACCAAGTTCTAGAAAGGAAGGAACTGATAGTCATGTCCTTCCAGTGCTCAGATAGGATCTGGCAAATATTACTGCTGATATGTGAATGAACCAAAGGATGAGGTGAGGTGGCTGGAGGTCCAAGAACAGGTGGGAGTGGAGGACCTTTGGCTTCCCAGCCCCTCACCGCTGGAAGTAGGCCAACTCCTCCTTGAGCAGGAACACATTGGCCTTAAGCTCATTCCGCTCCTGAAGAATCTGTTCAACCTCCTCCCGGCTGAAGCCGCACTGGCCTCCCTGCAAGGGACTCCCTGGCTGCTCTGGTGCATCCACCTGTAGGAAGTCAGGTGTGGTTAGATGGTGATCTCTGCTTAATCCTAGTGCCATCACAGGAACACTAGGGGACGTGGGGACAGGGAGGCGGAGAGCAAGGGTGCTACAGTAGATGGACAAAGCACAGCTGTGCCTGAGTGCGAGCCAGACGCCAACTGGGGACCAAACCCATATGCTGCCATATGGGTGGATCTGTTACGCAGCATGGTATCCCTGCCCAATGCATACCGAGTGCCCTCTTCTGATACTTACCGGGTGTTCAGGGGCTGCCCGTTCAGGCTCCTGCTTGTGGTCTCCAGCCAGCTCACGGGCGCCTTCCCGAGAAAGCTCGCGCTCCCTCTCGCGGTCCTGAGCCACCCGCAGCTGGGCCTGCACGGCTGCCAGCTTGTGCCGAAGCTCCGCGTTCACCAGCAGAAGGCGCTGCAACTGCTCCTGCAACTGGGGGCGGGGCGAGATGACGCGGTGGGCGGAGCTTCGCGGCGCCACAGCCCCGCCCCGCGCCCGCGGCCGGCCCTCGCCGCACTCACGGCCTCGGTCTCCTGGCTGCGCTGCAGCAGGTCGCGGCTGTGCGCGCGGAGTTCGTCGCGCTGCCGGTCAGTCACCTCCTTGAGCTGCCGCAGCAGCGCGCGCTCCTCTGAGGAAGGGGCGTTCTTAACGGTAGCCGTCGCAGGGGTCCCGCCCCGGACCCTGGAGGGGCTGGCACTCACCCTGCGGCCCCGAGCGCAGCTCCTGGCGGAGGCGCTCGTTCTCCTCCCGCAGCCGCCGCAGCTCCACTTCGGCCTGCTGCGCCGACACCTGTAGCTGGCAAGGCCCGGGACTCTCGGTTAGGGACCCGCGGCTCCCGCCGGGCGCGAGCGGAGGGGAGAGACTCACCGAGTCCGGGGCGGGCCCCACGGCGGCCTTCTCCAGGAGCTCCAGTGCCCGGACCACGAGCGGCACCAGCCCGGCCGCTGCCTCTGGACCGAAACGACGCGCCAGCTCCTGCAGCTCAGTGCCCAGGGCCCCCGCGAGATGGTACACGAGCTCCGCCGCTGTCCCCGACCCCGCGGCCCCTCGAGACCCGCAGCCAGCTGGCCCAGGCGCTGACCAGCTAGGCTCCATTTTACTTGCTTCCCCTACTCCTCAGGCCAAATTCACTCCTACTCTGAATTGGGCCAGGGACAAGCCACAAGTTCCGGTCCAGGAAGTTTAGTAAGGAGTGGAGTAGAAGTGACAAGGGAGGAGCGCCCGGGGAAAAGGGCTCTGGAGTGGGGAAGACTGTCCTAGGCCCCCTGGGCCCTGTCCTGTTCAGCCGCAAG